TGCTTTCGAACGGGTCGACCTAGCTTCAGATATACTACCGGAAGGACTTTGTTTTAGTGCATCAAGTGAAGGTGAAGGTCCAGCAGAGCAGTTCAACCTTTCATTTATGGGCCTATTAAAAAAATATGCCCGTATGCTCATTTCTGAGACAAAGAAGCTCATCTCAACTATAAAGCGTTCTTATTCGAGCAAGAGACGTAGCTTTTGCCAGTATTAGTTAATTAAAGTAATGTTCATCAACTTTTTAGCATTTATCCTAGGCTCAATATGCCTTTGACACGCTGGATTTGAAGCGTTGATATCATATGCCTCAATCAAATAGCACTGTAGATGCGAGCATACCTTTGCCATTGTTTGTAGCAGATTGTGTATTTTGGCTGATATTACTTAGTCTGTGATTGTTTGGAGATCACCTGGGTTCGATATCAAAGCTTGCCGTTTGTTTCGTCTTTGCTTCTGTTGGAGCGTATACGTGTGACGATATTACCAAGTAATGAAATGGTACATGAACGTACAGTAAATGAAAAAACAGTATTTTATAAGATTACAGTAGCACAGAAGACACCAACAATGTTGTGTGACGTAGGAGATAAAGTAATTAAATACGCTTTTACTCCAAAATAAACCAGCGGTATTCTGAGCGTAAGCTAGGGACTTGAACAAAATATTTCGGGATATTAAAATCGTTTTATCAGTGAAATAATTAAAAAAGTAGAATATTACATCTCCAAATAACTGGCGTGTAAAACTTGTTTAATACACAGATATGATGTGTTAAGTGGGTACTTACCTATTTTTACACGAAAATACTCCTGTAAATATGTCGTAGCATATGAGCAAAGAATACTTTTTAGGAGAAACCACTGATAAACATGTCATAAAACCTTAGTAGGACATCTTTATGAACTTAAAGTCAGTAGATGAACAGGTAAATGAATGACCTTTACCAGAAAAACCGGTAAAACGGTCGGTTTCAGCGGAACAGAAAGGAACAATTTTTTGAGAAAATGTTCTTTTGCCCGTCCAAATCACTGTACAAGTTCGGAAAGCGCCACAAAATGCTATTTTGATGCTGATAACACTCAAATCTGAATATATTTGTCCACTATGCTTTATTTCTGTCTCTGTAAATCATCGATATACCATTTACGCACAACGATACCACAAATGACACACCAGAATTTTTGGTACGCGAATGTAAAATACGCTGCAAAAAAGGAATCCCCGATGAAAAGCATCGTGCAACTTTCGGAGAACGACCTAAATATTTTAGTGTGCTACACAAGAGCGAAGCGTATCATCGGACACCAGGGCACAATTCCATGGATAGGAAAGTTGAAGAGCGACATGAAATTTGTTGCCAAGCTGACGACAACAGGTAATGTTGCGCTGGTGATGGGCAGAAAAACCTACCAATCAATCGGAAGGCCGCTTCCAAAACGAATTAACGTTGTCCTGTCAACCACGATGGAAGATCACGAGGGAATAGTGGTAAAAAAATCGTTTGATGATGCTGTTAATTTCTGTCGAGAGAAAGGCTACGTTACGGTCGTGTTCGGAGGCGAAGAGGTGTATCGAGAGGCACTCAAGCGCAGATGTAAGATTTATGCTACTGTGATTGATGATATGGATTTCCATGGTGATACGTTTTTTCCCGAGACTCGATGTGAGTACGAGTGCATGAATGAAGCGGTCAAACCGATTATTGCCGAGTGTGAGGGCGTGGAATACGACGGAAAGGAATTCTCTGAGAATGGGATAAAGTACTCGTTTTACACGGGTTATAATTAAAAGCTGGTTAACTTCATATGTACAATTCAATCGGCAGTAACATATTTATTGAATATTATGTAGTTGTAAGACATCAGATGGCTGACTCGATACCTTTTCATGATAACCGATTTGATTGATGAACTTTGTTACCTACATGAGCGCTTAACTCATCGTCTGTTGCGCTATACCCTTGGTTTACAAAACCGTCCTGTCTCAAGGCAAGGCTCTCCTGAAACAAGTGTCTACCTAAGTTATTCGTACGAAATTCTTTTCCTGGCACGCAATGCCAACCCTTGATTCATAGGCAAAGCAATATGCAACAAATGCTGGTAAGATCATTCAATACACTTGAAGAGTGCGATGTTACTCGTTATTCACCTATACTTGTCTGTGCAACAGCACAATATTCAAGTATCGATTCTGATTTCGAAATAATTTGAGCAGTTAAACCAAATTTTGATTCTTATCCGTAAACATCGTTCATAATTGCGTATTATACATGGAAAAACATCTTGTACATGGTAACAAAGCCGTGAGTACATTCAATCAGCGCGACCTAAGTTGAAATCCTCTCAGTTGTTCAGCATACGAACTGATGCATCAAAAATTTTTTATTTGTTAAAATAAGCCGATGGATCGGGATTGCTTCTCAATGTGTGCCGGTCCGTGGCCACCAACTTCAAAGCGATGAAAAAATAAATTTTTAAAAAAATTGTGCCCTTAAAAATGGTGAGAGGACCAAGAAAGCATTTGAAACGGTTAGCAGCACCAAAATCATGGCTACTTAAGAAGAACAAGGGCGTGTTTGCACCGCGTCCCTCTACGGGACCACATCGTCTGGAGGAGAGCATTCCGCTATCACTTCTACTCACGGACAAGCTTCAATACGCACGCACGGCCAAAGAAGTGGGAAATATACTTAAGGAGAAGATGATAAAGATAAATGGCAGGATAAGAACTGACAAGAGATTCCCTGTGGGTATATTTGATGTACTCTCGATTCCCAAGACTGGCGAGCATTACAGATTGATGTATAACGTTGCTGGGCGATTCATTCTCCACCAAATAGGTGAAGAGGAGAGCAAGTTCAGATTGGCAATAGTGAGGAAGAAGCGGCTAAGGAAGGGGAAGGTGCCGTATCTGTACACGAATGATGGTGGTAGTTTCAGTTACTGCGACCAGGATATTGTACCCGGTGACACGGTGAAGGTGGATTTGGAAACTGGGCGGATATCCGAGCATCTCCACGTAGCTATAGGCAACTTGGCATTCATCAAAAAAGGTAGAAATATGGGATGTGTCGGTGTGGTGACCAACATTGAGGAGAAAGGTATTGGTGATCGCAAGGTGTACTTGGTTGACAAGAAGGAGAGAGTATTTGCAACCCGGCAAGTAAATGTCTACGTGATAGGGCCAGATGGTAGTTCTTGGATTAGTTTGCCGGAGGGTGATGGTGTCAAGCTTTCCGTGTTTGATGAGAGTAACATCAGGTACGAAGGAGAAACGGTGAAGGCTGCAGAAGGCGGATAATAAACGTTTTTATTTTCTAACAGTGTTTTCGAAGTAGTTTTACCACGCTATTCCTGTTTTAGACATCGTAATACTTCCCTGGTGCTATGAACTAAGATACCATGCCATGAGTGGTGTTCCTACCAATTTTTGTTTTTAAAAGTTATGATTTGCCTCTCTCTCCTCGTTAAAAGAGTCTGTGCCATGTTATCGCATAGTGGTTGCCTTTGAAAGTTATTACTGATCAGCGATTTACCGAAAATAATGTTCTTTATCCGAGGAGCACAAGAAATGCTTGAACACCGTAATTATTACAAATTATTAGCTTGCATTCAAATCGCTTTCATTTACTGCTCTATTTTACATTGCACATGGCTGATGCACCGGTATAATGCGAGTGTTGTGATGGCGTGTGTCTACGATGGTTCAATCAAACTTGTAAAAAATTTATTATTTTGTACCAGCAGATGAAAGATCACTAAAAAATCCGCACATCACAAATCAAGTGCAAGCAATACAGGCATAGGAGTAGAATGTGCTGTGATCGGTAATAAGAACTAATTTGAAACTTATTAATTGTGAATAAATACGCTTTGTACGAAGTTGTTCATCAATATTCAACTCATACAGGCACTATGTGATGTATAACAGGTAGAAGGAGCGATCTTAGCAATCGCTGAGTGCTGGTTTTAACTGGAAACTAAAAAGTACCCTCTATGCCTGTAATAATACTTTGTGGGGACAGCAAATATGTGGAACAGTTCTGCGACGATTACACAGGTAGATGTAACGATAAGAAGATTGTGGTACACCATGAAGCATTTTCAGAGGCAATAAGTGACGTAATAGAAGATGACGCGTCTTTCTTTCACATTATCACACGCTCATATTGCAAATCGGAGCGGTACATCTCATATTGCCATGCAAAAAGGTTCAAGACGGGATACATTGTTGTGTTCCTGCAGGGCGACAATGTGGATGTGGAGTTAGAAGTACCACTGGAATCAAATCGCTACGATAATCCTTTGATTACGGTACAGAATTACGGTGAGACGTGCAGAAACGAGCTTTTTAGCAGCATAAATGGTGTTTTGAGCGATAAAAAAATGAAAAGGTCGAGATCGAACGAGAAATTCATAGCACATGAGGATTACATCAAAAAGATAAAAAGTATAATCAATGAAGTGCATAGCAAGTACGATTTAAGAAACGCGTTCGATATTTGTGTTGAAACCGAAAATCGTATGATGAGCATTGTTGGTATCAGGAAGATTGGGATAGAGGGTTTGGGCGAATACTATGAAAGCATGTTGCGAGAAGCGCTGTACGAAAGAGGAATGCTGAACGAATAGACTTGAATTAACGCATAGCTTGTGGTTTACTGCTGATCCGATAAACGGTACGTTATTAAACGAACTTTACAATAATAACCGGTATTTCTAGATTTGAATGGTTAATTGCTATCGAACCATCCATTCACATTCTTGTTATACACGGTTCATCTTTAAACGCTACCGTGTTTCTTCTGCTTGATATATGATCAAGTTCAAACCGTAGATTGTATTTTGAACACAGAATTTTTCACTAGGGAGCTGTTTCTCTTGCTGACCATACCTCCATATGTGGTTCATCACATAAATATGAATTAACACGAGTTCCGTCGCGCTCTTCTTTAGCTCTGTTTTTGAAAAGGGTATTTCGCAGACCCTTCCATGTCAGATTGTAAATCACTTAAGGACAAACAGATTGGCGACCATTACGAAGAGTACCGAAATGCTATTGAGTTTATGAGCGGTCAAAAACAGAAAAAGGAAATTTTGGCTGTTATACAAAAGAACTGTGACAACAGCACGGGAATGCTTTCTCTACTGCATTTGTACTGTCAGAAACTGGATGCTGATGACTGGGAGCTGTTTATGACCGTGATAGACTTGATAAAGAATATCGAGGATGATGAGGGTGGTTGGATCGTAAAGATTGTGTTCCTTGCGTTGGAGACACTCAAAAAGCTGGGTGGTAAGCACAAATCCAAAATATACGCAGTGTTGAGCAGAAGCAGAAACGTAGAAAACCATTTTATCCTACTATTGAGTGGAGTGGATAATGTTGACACGTGTTTGGAAATTTTTCAGGCGATGGAGACTGAGCAAGCATCGCTGTTCAAATGCTTAATGGCGGAAATTAGCACAGAAAATAACGTGCTCCAGAAAAACATTGCCTCTTTTCTCGTAGAAATTGCGAATAAAAGAGCCGAATTGTTCTTGAACTTCGACTTTCTTGATCTAATGGATTCAGAACTATTCGTTTTCAGGAGCTGTTGCCTAGAAATTCTTTTTAATCTAATCTTTGTCTACAAGAATGAAGGAAACATTGAAGGTATAAACGAGTTTACAGAGACATTGTTGGACAGGCTCTTGGATGTGAACCATTTTGTGAGAGCAAAGGCGATCCAGGTTCTTACATCGCTTGTTGAGCAGCAAGCGGTCACACTCAAACTGAAAAATAAGGTAATAGAAAACGTTGTCCTCAGGATCGAAGACAAAGCGGTTATAGTAAGGAAGAAAGCGCTGAACTTTTGCACCATGATTATTAAAAATCACCCATTCGTGGCGAACAGGTATTTAAGAGTGGAAAGGAAGGTCAATGAGGAGCTGCTGAGTGAGAATGAAAAAATGTATGTCCAAGACCTGAAGATATTCGTAGCACAGATGAAAAAGGTTATTTGGTTGGTGCAGGATATTTTTGGGTGCTTGAAAACGGAGATCGGTGACATTGTCGAGTTCATGAAACTGGCGGTGTTCTACAAGCTGGACGGTAGCTTAGAGCTGGTGACTTTCTTGTGCGAAACCGTGGAAGCCAAACAGCGTATGCTGGTGCTACAAGCATTCATAGACCTGTTGAATTCACTTAAGGCAGAGGACGACGTTCTTGAGCTGTTAGATCATATAACGCCCAATTTCCTGAAGGTAATGAACAAGAAAAAAATCATTGAGAGAGAGACGGTGAAGGCACTGCTTCTGAAGTTTAAGAATGGAATTGATGTGGTAAGGACCACAAGGTTGCTGAAGAACATGTGCTATAAGCGATATGAAGACAATATCTTAGAAAAAGCGGCAGAGATGCTGCTCAGCGATGAGATAAAGGAAGAGTATGTCAGTTCTTATAAAAATGTGCTCAATACCGTAAGTATTAGGCCGTCTACGGCAGATGTGAAATGTGGTATCAGCAATCTAGTGCTTACGAAGGTGGTAGACTTCGAAATGATCGATGCGACCGTAAGGATGCTCTATAAGATGCCTGATCCCGAACCGCTGTGCCAGCTACTGCTTGAGAAACTCTGCACCGAGAACAAGAATTTGGCTAAGATAATTTACACGGTCGGTGCGGTTGCAATCAACGAATCATTTTTCATCGATAAATTGGAAAAAAAGGTACCAAAGATTCATGTTCCGAAGGAAATAAGAGAAAAGCGAAAAAGTTTTAACGTAACGAGAACAAGTTTTAGACAGAGCATCAATTTTAGTATGCATGAGAAGGATCTGAGTTCATCTTTCGACATGTCAGTGCATCAATCACAGGATATCATCGATGGCCAAGTTGGTTTGAAGGATAAAACAAGCGACGAAATCGCAGACATACTTTTTTATATCAAGGAAAGGGAGATTTTGTACGGGAGTGGTTCCATTCTTGCGCCGTTCATAAAGATCGTTGTGGAGAACTGCAAAACAGAAGATCTGAACGTTGTTGCATACACCTCTATGTACAGGATGATGGCTGTTAGCTCTGAGTTTTTCCTCGGTCACTTTTCATATTTTATATCCGGTCTGAAGAGCACGAATACGCTCGTTCGTTATAACTCGCTCGTAGCGATGGCTGATTTCATACTGCTGTACAACTCCTATGTTGAAAAGTACTCGTACTTGCTGTTTGATAAACTCTTTGATGAGAGCGAGAATGTGGTAAAGCTTGCTCTTTTCATAATCTACCACTTGGTGAGCAGCAAAATATTAAAAATTAAGGGATACGGGGCTGTGCTATGCAGGCTATACAGAACTCAGCACGGAGATATCGTTAAGTCCCTACTTATCAGCCTGTCTAGTGACGAGAACACGGTAGCTAGCATTTTCTATGAGGTAATGATGGGTGAGAATGAGGGTGATATGGAGATTATACAGTTCATCAAGGGTTTGGTCAAGGACAAGACGAAAGAAAATTTGTTTTTAAAAATTTTACAGAGGTTTAAAAAAGAGGAGAGGATGGGAGATGTGTTTTTGGGTCAATTATACGGTAACTTATCGTTTGGTGTGAAAAGTGTATGTGATATGAGAATGAACGAGGTATTTAATATGTGGGTGGCAGGAAAGAATTAGATTGTTCAATGGGGATTGGGATGGACATTGTTGATGTATTGTTTGGTAAGAGATGATCTGATGTTGATACAAAAATAGCACTCTATGTGTCCTTTTCTACCGTTGATGGGTGTATGGGGCGCAGCTATTTCGATTATTATTACACCAAAAAACTCAAGGCTAGCAATAATGCGGCTATTGTTGGAAATCAGGGTGGTCTGGTCACATAGGAAATATCGGTTGGGTTGAATAAACGGACATTCATGTAACTGGTGTTGCCTTGTATGAGATGGCAAATAAACTATTTCAAACGAAAAATAAGAAGACTGGCATCAAATAACGTGTACTCGAATAGATGCTCATGTATGTGTTTTTTACTAAAATTTCGTTCATTTAGCTGCATTGAACACACCTTGTAAATTATTTGCGGTCAAAAAGAATATTTTTAATACTAGCTGCGCTATCCCGTTTTTCAAAAACGGGTGTATGAATGGATAGTATACCAAAATAGCGCTTTCGAATGTGACTAAACATCAGGTCATTCCTTTCTACCAACTGTTCTATGGTTACAAAATCAATAAATTTACTTTCATTATAATGGCTTAGTATGCACAACATTTCTTGTGTATACTTTACCATTCTCATGCTTTTCTTGGTCTCCATTGTCAGCAACATACACCCTCAGACCGTTTGCATAGCGCACTCTCGACAAAGCTACGTACAACTGACCATGCACAAAGACAGAGCTGTGCAGATAAACACCTACCTTGTCAAATGACTGACCCTGTGACTTGTGGATTGTCATCGCAAACGAAAGAAGGACCAGAAACTGTCTTCTCTTGAGTATGAATGGCAGCTGTGTTTCGCTAAATATCATCGCAATCTCGCCCGTTGCGGGAACATTGTACCTGTTCATGTCACGATGAATGTTCTTGTTTGACTCCACATTTACCATCAACATGTTTCTTTCACGCACTGCACTCCTATCAACCTCAGCAAGATTCTGCATAAGGATTGACTTCTCTTATCGTCCTGTCAAGATTGTGTAGTATTGCTCTATTACACTTCTCATTTGCAGGGTTTCTCGATCTCAGATCTGTGGCATCGTTTGTATCAACCACGTACAACTGCGAGTATCTCCTGTTAGTGTTCTCAAGCGGGTTTATGTTGTATGTGTTGTGGTAGACCTGACCATGCACCTTGAAGAAGTACACTCCTCGTGTAAATTGCTCCACATGTGCACCCATCGACGCAAACGACAGGGCA